TTGGATCATGAGCTTAACCACTGAGCACCAAACCAAGGCCGCGGGCCCAGGCAATGCTGTCCCTGCAGATAAAGATATGCAGGCTAAGATTATTCACATGAGGTAATGGCATGGAACAGTTGTAGAGTGATGGGAGTGGTTTTAGGCAAAGTATTACATGTATTAAATCTTTGTTATCTGCTTTGCACATTTATCTTGTCCTCTTACTCAGCTTTATAGAATGCTGTCTGGTAATCATATGATTTTGATTCCTAACATTTCTTGCTTTTTTTTTCAAAGTGCTTTGATTATTCATATTAATTATATTGAATATTTAGTTGGAATGTACATTTATTTATTTGCTAGTATTATTTTTTAAACTATGGTGATATCATAACTTTTACATGATAAAAACTGATGTCTGACTTAATTATTCAACATAGAAATACATGTAATACTTCAACATTTTATTGAGTTGAATTAATACTTTTGCATATTTGTAACTCAGTGCTTAAAAGTGAACATTTGTTAATTTTTACAATAAATTAAGACAAGAGATGGAAGCTCTTCAACAGAAGGTTATCCAGGAGAGAGAAAAATACCAGGTGACAGCTCAGCACAAGAATGCCATATCAGCTGTCCCACAGTTTAACATTAATGACAAGTTTGTGCTGAACAAGGAAGATGCCAGCTACACTCTCAGTCTTGAAGTTCAAATGGCAATTGATAATGTTCTCATACAGGTATGTAAAGGGAGTAGTTGAATATAGGGGAATTCGACTGACTGAACTGTCATCTGTTGGCATTCATAGCTGGGCTGCTTTTTTTCAGACTGAAATGTAAGGAAAAAGGCTTGGTCTGATATCTCTAATGGTAATCTGAAGGCACTCAAACAAACCTTTAAAAAACGTCCAAACCCATCTCATTTCTAAGTTTATGGAATAAATAAATAAAAAATGGAGTTTTTAATAATGCTGTGGTCACCAGCAACTGTTGTCATATTATGGTCTGTGCATTGCAAATCTTTACATTTGCAATTTCTAAAAGCCAAAATTAAATTTACCATAGACTCTTAATTTTTTTCTCTTATTTATACCTAAAAATGTTATTCATTATGCATTTGGCAGAAAGTTTGATGTGTAGTTTTTTTTATTTAATTCTTTCTTTCAGAGTGATGTTCCTGTTGACTTGCTGGATGTGGATAAAAACTCGGCTGTAGTTAGCTTCAGTGCCTGTAACCCAGAGGTAAGAGTTTGGCACAGGATACCAGTACTATAGTAGATCCTTATTATATTTTTAATCTTAGAAGTGTGCTTTTAAATCTAAAACAAAGTTTTCATTATTTGACTCATTTTTGTAGGCAAAAAACAGGGGCATTCAATTCAACACCTATTCAATAAGTCAGTGGCAATTACCAGTTTTCGGTGTTGATTCTTGCACAAATATGAAACAACAGCTGATCTCAAAAACAAAAATCCGTCAAAATTATGGTATTTTACAAAAACAAGCATGTTGCACTTGAAATTACAAGTACCCAATGCTTGGGTCTTTGTTCTCAACATCTCTGTAGTATAAGTACATGTAGAATACACAACTTGTCAGCTAAGTGAGTGTGACATCCACCTGTGCTTTGTCCCCTGAATGTCACACACACCCCTCCCTGACTTGTACACACCTCTCTGTATCTATCACATGACACAGTCTATATGTAATAACTGTTCAGTCTGTTCTTCACTTTCAGTCAAGTGTTCTTTTCCTGTTCCTTATTGTCTGTCCTAATTTTCTTTCTTTATATGCTATTGTTGTCCATTGGCCAATAGTCTCGAGCCACTAGTTTCATTTGCCTATTTTTCTCACTTACTCTCTCTACTTCGTTTCGTCAACATGTCAGTTATATTTACAGGAAAAATTATTTTCTTCTTATCTTTTCACTAAGTTTTGTTTAGTTGTATGTTATTTTATTTAACTGTACTTATTTATATAGTTATAAGTTAGTATTTAATTATGTTTTGTTTTCAAATGTAGTTTGTAAATATTTTCATTTATAGACTTACTCTCTCTACCTGTTTAGTCTACCTATTTGCTGGTCTTGTGAATAAACATTGAACTGAACCCTAAAAAAGAGTTGTACGTTATTCTGTTTAATAACAAAACTCTTACATAATTATACCCTTTGAAATCTTTTTCAGGAGGGCAACTACCTGCTCGCCACCTATCGCTGCCAGGCCAACACAACACGCCTGGAGATCAAGGTGCGGTCCATAGAGGGCCAGTATGGCACCCTGCAGGCCTATACCACCCCCAGACTACAGCCTAAAACCTGTGTTGTCAAGCAGTACCCCATCAAGCCACTGTCTCTGCATCAGAGGACACATGTCTTTGATGAAAATAGGTGATTGCTTGCTTAGATTTTATTGTGTAGCTGTTCATCTGATCCCTATTGCTTGCTTAAATTTTATTGTGTAACTGTTTATCCGATCAAAAGAAGAAAAGGATGCAAGTGCCTGTTATTATTTATATGGTACTCTTGGGTAGCGTTAACACTTGCCAATTTTGGCAAATGCTAAAACTGACTTAAATTGACTAAACATAAGGGCCTTGATTTGACTAATTTTAGTCAAATTAAAGCCATTTGGATAACAAATTGACAAAAAAAGTGGTAATTTGGCTAATAGTAAGCGAAAAAAAAAATTGCTAGCGCTACCCCAGGTACTATATCTGTCTACCATTTGAATAACTTTTATAAACTAACAATCTATAAGTGTAACAACCCACATTAACAACTGCCTTTGGACATTGGAAACACAGAAAAAAGTAATTTTAATTGATACGAAAATTTTAAAGTAATAAGAGTAACAATGGACTGTACACTGTGCACCCCCTCTTCATTACTAAAACTGATAGCAATTAAAGTGTATATATTTTGTACAATTCCAGACCAAACTGTTCACTGAAACTAATGGGCAACTTCAGCCTGGCTGAGATCCACTCCTGGGTGACTTTCTGCCTCCCTGAGCTGCCTGAGAGGACACCTGCTGGGGACACGGCTGTGTTCCACTTTGTCTCCACATTCCTTGACACACAGCTCATGTGTCAGTACAAGTGAGTAGGACTTTGCTGAATTAGTAGGTTCTGATATTATAGGATTGTTTACCATAACATTCATGAGTGGTTTTATAAATATTATACAGTCATGGTTAAATGATCAGACATTAACCAATAGGCCTTTTCTCACATTTTGGATAACGCAGCTAGTGACATTATTTTTTTCTTGACATTTCTTTTAGTTTTACCATACAGTAGACAGATGAAGTCATGTTTTACATAATTTCTCAAATTGACATTATTTGTCTAAAAACCTTCTTAATATTTTAGAAAAGGGGAAGGGCTTTTTAAATCAGACAACATTTCCACGATCTCAATTTTGAAAGATGTTCTCACAAAGGAAGCCACCAAAAAGAAGATCAGATTGGACATTTCATATGGTGAGTGACCATTAAGTCAAAATATAAAAGAAGGTCATCACTAAAAAAATATCTTAAAAGACAAATTTGCCTCTTTTCAAAATTGTTCAAATTTTAATGACTAAAATGTTTTTATGAGGTTTGCTCAATATTGTGATAAAACTCCAAAGAAATTTTTTATGTAAACTCTGAACAAATAAATGATGCTAATGTGGTTAAATGAAGCAAATAAATGATTTTTGATCTATTGATTATCTAGACATCAATGAAGAGTCTGTGGCTCACTTACTCAATCTGATCCACCCTAAACTGGAGTACCAGCTGGTCCTGGCCAAGAAAGTACAGATTATTGATGCACTCAAGGTAAGTGACTTTTCAGATAAAGTCTGCCTTAGACTATGGCACACACTTAGTGGCACTTAACATGTTTTTATTATCTGAAACATGAATACTAAACTATGTGAGGGCTTTGAATTTAAAAAAAATCTCATATTAAATTGTTGGTCCTTGATTGTCATTTTTTTTAAATAAAAAAACTTAAGGTAAACAATTTTTCAAATCGATACAGAAAAAAAAAAAAAAAAAAATATATATATATATATATATATATATATATATATATATATATATATATATATATATATATACATATATATATTGCACACTTTAAAGGATGGTGCAAAAAAGCAAGCTTTCATTACAAACTTATTTTGTTAAACTTTCAGGAGTTGCAGGTACATGAAAGTGACACATCCTTCCTGTCAGCAGAATACCAACAAATTCTTCAAGATGCTGAAAAGCTTCAGGAAGAATATAAAAAGCAACCTTGCTGTCTTGAGAGGCTCTATGATATCCTTTTTGATGGAATAGCTGGAAAAATAATTGAAAACTATTGGGATTTATGATATGTATAAACAAAAAGTAATATGTTGTCATATATACTAATTTATTTTGATGGGTCATTTTTATTTGAGATAGTATTTCAAATTTTATTACCCTAATTTACAATTTTTTTAAAATTGTTTTTTAAATTGAAAATTTCCGTCTTTCGAAGTTGATCTTTTTAATTACTTTATCATTTGGCACTTATATTGATATTTCATAATGCATCATAATGCATGTATGTTTGCGTTTATGCTTTTTTTTTAACTTTAAAGGTTTCACCTTGCTCTTTTTACTTAATTTTTTTCCTTAACCATTTTCAAGTATGATCACAGATCTGTTCATTGACAAGTTCAAATTCAAGGGGCAGAATGTGAAGAGCAAAGTACCTCTCCTGATAGAACACTTAGATAACTATGACCTGGGGCAGCTAATACAGTTTTTCAATGCATCTGGATAGGCAGAGACTAGGAAACAAGCAAAATTTATCACTTCAGAATTTTTTTCTACTGAACTTGAGCAGCCCAGGCTTGTATTGACCGTTTGCAAATTTATTGAAAACAAATTTTATTAATTTGGATCATAATTATGTTAACAAATTATTTGCTCTTGGTTGTAACTTTCTATGTGCTGCTGTTCTGTGATGGTGTAGAAAAAAGTGGGGCTGTTCCTACAGGTACTGCAGGCGAGGACGATATACTCTGTTGCATTTTCTTTGATAGACTTTTGGGACTTAAGTAAACAGTTGACAAAAGGTTTTGATGATAGACCTGGTAGTCAAAGTTGAAAACCTTGTGGTAGTCATTCTTGTAAGGGAAACAATCATGTACATACAAAAATAGGTAATGTTCCAACAAGCCACGTAAGAAATATTAAGATTGGTTTTTATTTTGTAACTTGTCAATGTGCATAGTGTAATGTATTTTTTTATTTAAAAGTAGTCGTTTAAGCAGTATCTTCAAAATGTCATACGGATATTTTATTAATTTCAATGTTTTGTTAGAGCTTAATANAGACAGTAGTGGATCAAGGGTGGTCTCTTGGCTGTCACCTTGATTGGTTAAACAACCTGGTTAAAGGGATGTCAGCTCTTCATTTTGGCTTGAAAAGGGACACAAAACAGTTTTCCATGGGGTAAACAATAATTTTCTGACACTTTCAAATGGTAAATAAATGCGTTAATTGTGACTTCAAAGTGAATAGGTGTGGCAAAACACCGGAGAGATGTCTTGCATGTGTCTTATATATTCAAAATTGTGAAACATGTCTGAATAGCAGCTGGGGTAGCACTAGCATTTTTTTTTCGCTCACCCAAATCACCACTTTTTTGTCAATTTATTATCAAAATGGTTATAATTTGACCAAAATAAGTCAAATCAAGCCCTTTTTCTTAAGCCAATTTAAGTAAGTTTTAGCATTTGGCTAAATTGGTGAGTGTAAGCGCTACCCCAGAGCAGGCTCTTTTAATAGGATGAATATGGATATTTTTCAAATCCTATTTCTGATAAGACTGTTTTAGATGCATGTAGGCAGAGACGAAATGTAAGTGGTTGTTGTTATAAAAATGTATTAGGGGTAGGGCGTGATCAAAAATAAAAAATTATATTATATAGTTTAAAACCTACCCTTGGTGCTTTGAAATCTCAGTGTAATAGCAAAAAGAAGATTATTATAATTGTGCAGTGTTTGTGTGAATGAGAGAGAGAAAAAAAAAAAAGAGAGAGAGAGAAGGAGAGAGAGAGAGAGAAAGAAAGAGAGAGGGGGGATTGTGTTGCTGGACTCTAAAAAAAGTAAATAACAAGTAAATAACAAAAATGTTAATTTTGTTTTTGAAGAAGCAAGATGATGAGTGAAGCAGTGATCAGTATCCAAGGCATGACTTGCCAGTCTTGTGTGAAAAATATAGAAGTGAACATGGCAGCATTCCCTGGAATATCCACAATTGAGGTACCGTTTATCAAGTATAATTATATCAATTTTGAATTCTAGCTAAAAGTGGATATGTGTTGCACATAAGCTAACATGTGATGTAGCAGTTGTCATAGAGTTATATTTCATTGTTATGTTAAAAATTAAGTAAGCAGACTGCCAGTACTTTTGATGTAGGAAGTAGAAAAATGTATTTGTTGTAAATCTTTGTTAACTGACAAGCGGTCATATATATGCAGGTTTTCTTGTATTTTTTTAATTAGCAGTGTTTTTTCAGGTCTGTTTCACTTTCACTTTGAATGATTATGATAACTAAAGAACCCTTTTTACTAGTGCTAGTACTACATATTGCTCTTGTTACAAAGCTTAGTCTTATGTTGAACATTGTTGAGTTCAAAGAGCAGTGAAGGAGCAATGGTCCAAAAAAGAGAGACATGTCCCCGCATTTGAAAATGATGATAAGTTGTCAGATTTTACCTCTGTGCTGGTTTTGAAATGCAGGAGAAGGCACTCTTGGGTTGTTTACAAGTAAACAGAAATTCCATTTAAATTGGAAAGCAGACTATCTTGGGTAATCATTGACCATAGGACAAAAGTTGGACCAATTTTCAATTGAAATTAATAAAGGGTAAATTCACACACAGCTGTCTCTATGCAATCCCTGTATGCAATCTAGACCCAGTATTCTCATGACGATGTGCTTAATCAAGAATGAAATTGTCTGTCCCGTATTTCAAACAACATAATGCAGGAAGGACGATAAAGCTTTGAATTGCCCTGCTGACGACAGGTTGCCCTCATTTATGGGTTTGACGCAATTCAGCCTTTAAGTGTGACTTAAGCGCTTGGGTTGGCTGACTATCTCGCTTATCTTGTTATGCCCTCAGGTTTTTGAGTGTCTCTCTCATTTTATTGTATATATGGGCAAATATTGTCAGAAGCATCTGACCTTGTTTTAAGCACATACTTAGGCATTTTATGATGCCAAATTTAAGTCGTTTTATTTCCAAAGTCAAGATATCTGTGACTTTTAACACATGTAAGACAAACTGGTCCACTTCTTGACCTCTCACGCTGTACCCAGCACTGTTTTCAAACATTTACAACTGGTCTCAAACCTTTTTAGCAAAGTTAGTTGGTGATAAAAATACCTTAATTTGGAAGTTGAAACAATATATTTTGAAACAGCTACTAGTAGATTTTTTTGTAAAGAATGAAAAAAAAAAATCAAACGTAGGTGTTTCAAAAAACTTGTTTCAAAGTGATTCTCATTAACAAAATTTTAAATGGATTCAGGATCTAGGGACCATGGATAATTATCGCATTAATGTGATAGAAAGTGGGTTTAAAACATATTTAATATTTGTGCCATGCTAAGGAACTTAATTATATGTTGTCTCTCAGTGAAAATTCCCACCTGCTACTTGTTCACTGTACTGGTCTCACGTCATGTGGATGACAACATATAATCTTCCTCCTGTATTTAGACTAAAAAACAGGGTAGTTTAAAGGGCTGCTGAATGCAGCTTTGCACTTCTTATCCTCGCTGTAGAAGAATATAGATGGATCTATAGATATTACTATCACGATATGACCATGACCGGTAACGTCTACAGCTGGAAAGATATGGACCAGATAGAAGGCCAGTATCTTATATACTATCTTATATTCTGTGTCAGTTCAGAAAAAGACATTGGCTAGACAGTACGTGTTTGTGTCTTCAGATGGGATTTACAGTGATAAAGCCTCAACAAATGTTTTAGTTCAAGTATTTAAACGTTGTGTGGAAATTATAACAACTGCGTGTTTGCAATCAAAGGTGAAAGGAGGAAACGGTTCAGCATATGGAGGACTTCAGAGAATTACTCTAGGTAAACTGTGTGATAAGTTTGCATTTTGGCAGATGTACATTTATTCAATATGATTTATCTGTTCATAGAAACTGAACTGGTTTGACATAAAAACTTGACTGTTTAACTGTGCATGAACATCTGTATTAGTACTTTTAAGCACGATTTATAATATATGCTATGCAGTTATTTAAACTGATGTTGTATGTGTTGATATAAATTATTCAATTTAGTTTAGGTGTTTTTACAGTACATTGATGATTCCCTGTGTTACATCTTTTTCCCTCTGTAAAACTTCCTTATTTTTCATATCTTATGGAAGAGAATAAAATGGTTTGAGTTTCTCTTCTAAAATCTTTAGAAAATAGAATGTAAGGGCCTATACTAAGTAAGCTGTATGCAATTTGACTAATTTTTTTTTAAACATTTTCATGGCCAAAATTAAATGTAAATCAAGTCTACTTATGCAGGTGTACAGTATATTTCATCACTGCCTGCTTATTTTTTAAATTTTTTAATTAAAAAAATTATGGGAACCCAGATATAACCTTGTATTTGCAGTGATAGGTTATTGTTAAAAACTTGATGACAGTTGTTGCAGACAGATGAGGGTAGAGATTTTTGTTTTGTCGATGTTAGTGTTGTTAGGAGGTGCTGTTGACATGAACATGGCGCTGGCTTGCTGCAGACATATGGTGACAATGCTAGCAAAGTAACATGAAGTAAGAGCTTTTTCTTGGAGAAGATATGATATACAGTGGTGAGATTGATCTAGATCATACCTTTTTGCTAACCTAGTATCCCAGATATTTAGGAATGTCATAATATATATTTACCCAGATTAACCAGATGATTATTTTAATATCCTGATTTCAAATTTGATAACATCTATAGAAATTTACTTCCATAATTTCACTAGTGAAAGGGTGTTTGATATAGGACACGGAAATGTTGGAATACAGGATACTTCAGATGTGAATAAGGTAGCAAGACAAGAGGGTCTATAAACCTGTTATCGTAACGTTATACATCTCAAATTTAAAATCTGTGATTAATTGATATTCGTTTAATTGATATTGATTGAAAATATTCTAAGTAGATTGTTCACTGGGTGGAGGGTTTTAACAAACCTGATATCTTTGGACTTTGTTTTATTACACGATAACTTATCATAATTTACATGTGACTGCTGAACAGGAGGGGGGTGAGATATATTCTTGATCATGGACAAGTAAAGATATTGTAGGTGTGGGTATTGTTGGTAAACACACAAGGATTTGTGTTCATTTATTTGATTGCTTGTAAGATACTTGTTTTAATATGAGGACATTTCCACTTCCTTATTTTCACATTATTAATATCCTGGTTTCCTCTTCAGAACTTTTTTAGGATGTACATGATAGTCCTTGACTTGAGTCTGTGTCAGGTGCTTGAAAAATAGCTTAGCAGAAAAAAGTTTAATCAAAAACAAAACGGTATGAGATATATTTCTAAAGGAATTTTCAGATATTGAATTTTTTTCTACTAAATTTATTGTTGACAATTTTTATAATGTGGTTTGTGTTATTCAACTGCTTGCCTTTAAAGATTTTTTTTCTGGTTTGAGCCCTGCTGGGTCAAGAAGAAAAAAAAAGAAATAATTGCTAGAGTAAATATATATGTTGAGAAGAGATTTATCTCAGGTTGTATTGATTTCTACCAAAATACGGGAAGTCACATTCCTTTGATTAGTAACATTTTATGATATTAAGCACAGTTAAGACCTTCCATGAATTGGCATAAAATGACTTGATGCCCTTTAACAGTTAGGTCCGTTTTGTTCAGTCCTACGTAACTAGAGTTTAAAATGCAAGCCTCTCAGCGTATAAATGTTAGCATAGAAGCCTTAAGTTACCAGCATTCTGTCGGACATACAAGAGATACATAATTATAATTATTGACTTCATAATACCATATATACGGGCTGACTTTGCAGAGTACTTTATTGTTATTCACTACCATATGTTGCTTGAAAGCCATTCCAGTTGGAAGTTACTGTTTGAAAAAAATTGTTTTAGTCTGTACAGCTTCAAGATCCTGTTTGGTTCTATGGTTCTTAAAGTGGTAAACATGTGCCTGAAATATAGTGCAGGGAGTAACAGTGGGTAAATGCTAACCATGGTTTTAGCACAAAGTGACGAGATTTATCAAGGAGCAGCTTGTAAGAAATCATAGTTCTGTGGACTTAGACTGGACTGGCAGTGGTGAAAAAATGCAAAAGATATCTGTACACTTGCCTGAATGTTTTTACCGAGTGGTATTGATTTCGTGAATGTTATCATTGCTTCCGAGTTACTTCATGTGCATCTGGTTAAGATCTAGGTTCATATGTTTGCTTTAAGATGTTTTAGTACTAAAAAGAAAATGTGGAATGTTCTTTTTTGCCAAGTTTAAGTTATCATTGATTACGTGAAAATTATATCATTTGCTTAAAAGTGTAAGTGATGGATGAATGTTCGATATTCACATATGACAGATGTAGATGTCATGTAGATATATGTGAAAATATGGAAAGACAGAAAAAATTAAAATTTCCCTTTTTTTAAACAGGTTTCTCTAGAAAACCAGGAAGGTGTTGTAAGCTTTGATCCCACCGTTACCACTGCAGAGAAGATTGCTGAGGGAATAGATGACATGGGTTTTGAAGCCAAAGTTAAGTCCCCTGGGTCCTCCCCCCAGGAAGTGACAATCTACATAGAGGGAATGACCTGTCAGTCTTGTGTCAAAAACATAGAGGGTGCCATCAGCATGAGGTCAGGGGTCAAGCAGATCAAGGTATCATTATCGCAGAAACAGGCGAGCATAAGGTATGACCCCTCTCAGACCAATCCTAGAACTCTACGTGAACACATCGACGATATGGGTTTTGAGGCTTTTCTGGAAAAACCGAAGCAGACGGTGAATGTGAAAATTGGAGTAGAGGGTATGACCTGCCAGTCTTGTGTCAAGAATATTGAAGGGAATATGTCCAGCAAACCGGGAGTGAGGCACATTCAAGTTTCCCTGGAGAGAAAAGAGGCCAATATCACGTATGACCCCTCCGTTGTTACAGCACAGATGTTACGAGATCAAATCAATGACATGGGGTTTGAGGCAACACTTCCCAGCAATGGATCCTCAACATCTTTTGATGAATTTCATGAACTCGCTAAGACAAGAAGCCATGCTGACTTTGGCAAATGTAGGTTACACATTGAGGGGATGACTTGTCAGTCGTGCATTAAGAACATTGAAGGGGTTATCGGTGAATTCCCAGGAGTGAAAACTATCAAGGTGACTTTGGAGACCAAATCTGCTGATGTTACTTTTGACTCCAGCATTGTTACTGCCCAGGCAGTGGCGGATAGAATATCTGATATGGGTTTCGACTGCAATGTGGCTGACCAACAGGATGAGTTTGATGAAATAGCCAGTAGAAGTGCTCCCACAAAATCTCCCCCAGATGGCACTCTAGCCAAGTGTATGGTTGATATTGAAGGGATGACCTGTATGTCTTGTGTTAAGAACATCGAGGGTACTCTTTCTGATGAGAAGGGGATCGCACAAGTCAGTGTTTCTCTGGAAGAGAAAAGGGGTACAGTGCAGTATGATCCCGCCCTCTGGTCCCCCACCACTGTGGCCGAGAGAATCAGTGACATGGGCTATGATTCTGTAGTCCATGCTGCAGCCATTCCTAAGGTGCCCTCCACTATCAGCACAACTGTCATCTCCATCAAAGGAATGACATGCAATTCCTGTGTGAAGACAATCCAGGAAGTGATTTCTGAGAAACCAGGGGTGAGATCTATAAAAGTGTCTCTGCAGGAAGAGCAGGGAGTTATCCAATATGATCCTGACGTCACGTCACCCCAGCAGCTGCGAGACGCCATAGATGATATGGGCTTTGATGCATGCATCACAGGTGGGTGATACAGGCAGTGATTAGATTATACAGTGTGATAGTCTTGCTGTTTTGGTCATAAAAAGTTAATTTTGGATTTGTTTATGCTGCCACTGAATTTTTTTATGTGAATATTATCCACAGCATTTGAACAGTGCTTGGTAGATAAGATGTATCACTTCAGCATATGATATTTTTAATACCAAGTTAACATTTTTTATGCCTACCCTCTTTTATAACTGTGAAACCTAGCTTTTACCCCTGTATCTTATATACTTGTGTCTATATTTTTATTTCGATATTTACAAGTTTACTTTTCAATCATTTTCTGTCAAAAATCTCTCCCACATACACATTGGGTGATATTTTACCAGCTCTGCTGAAAACTCAGTATAAATCTTTCAGATGAGACCAAATTCCCACCAGAAACCACCGTGATAATGAACGGCAGTGCAGGGCCAGTGAAGTCCACGCCTTCACGCGGCCATCTACCCAAGACCAACCATGGCATGGTCCTACAAAGGAAGGTGGACACAGTGGAAGAGGATGACCTGGAGAAATGCCACCTCCATGTGTCTGGAATGACCTGTGCTTCTTGTGTGGCTAATATTGAGAGGAACTTACTGAAAGTGCCTGGTTAGTATTTGTTGATTTTGGCAATGTGGTATCATTTCTCGATTGGCAATGACTTAAGTAATTTTTTAGCCTTTTAACATGATATTTCTCTTTTTAAATCATTTAACTTCTCAATTGTAAGATATATGAGATACAGGAGAAGATTCAGAGATATTTTATGACAGTCTTGAAAATTAGCTTTGTTGGTCCATCGTCCATTTGTGTCCATCCTCCAACAGAAAAAAATTAGATGCTTGTCAATTTAAACTTAGGCTTCGTTCACATGCAATGTCTATTTTCTAAATTCTATTTTCTATTCGCGCTATCTTATGATCACGGTCTGTGCCCTGAATATCCCGCTGCGTAATTACTGGCAGCGCGAGCCAGTTACTTATAGTAACTTATAGTAACTGGCTCCCGCTGCCAGTAATTACGCCGCGGGATGTTAAGGGCACAGACCGTGATCATAAGACATACCGCGAATAGAAAATAGAATTTAGAAAATAGACATTGCATGTGAATGAAGCCTTAAAACATTCTGACCATCTTCTTGATGACCCAGAAGACGCCCTCCATCCATTTCTGGGATATGTGATTTTCTATTCACTAATTCAGGAAATTGTTATTTTTTTCTTGAGTTTGGCTAATAAATAGCCCAATTTACTGGCAGTGGAAAATAAACCACAATTTTGTGCCATCATGTGTAGTCCTAATATTTCAATAACCTTGTGTGGGAGGATTCATTTCTCATTATGGGCAAGTTGATTGCAGGGATAATTTGCCTGCATTTATGATGGAAATCACAATGTTTCCAAACCATGGATTTCAAGACATTTAAGCAGTCGTACATCGAATTAGTATATTTAGGCTTAGCAAACTGCTGGTAACATGACAATAATGTCAAACTGAATTTCAGTTCTCTTTAAGACTTACCTTAAATAGCAGTAGGAAGAATGAATGATGAATTGGTAAATATATAGTATGCCTAAACTTTTTAAGGAGAAACCTTTATTATTTCACACTGTATACCACTAGAGGATATGAAAACGTGACTTAAAGCAGGTTCCATTTCATTTTTTAAAAACCAGCATTGAATTATTAATGGTTCCATTATCCTTGTCTTGATATCTGAAAGAAGGAAAACTGGAAAGTGTCAGTGTTCATTGATGCAAGAGGCACTATTTCTACATTTAGAGGGATACAGTTGTACTTAAATGAGTGCCACTTTAGTGCGTACCACAAAGAGATCCTATGATGGCTGGCCATATGCTGACCGAGGTTTGTTTAGGTTTCAATGTTGTTTCTTATCTGAAGAAGCCTATTGATTTCTTTAAGAGTTCTTTATCAGGGAAAAGGTGTTAAAATGAATACTACCCTCACAAAATTAAGATGAAATTAAGATGAACATAGTATGTGATGGATTCATACAGATCAGTTTGAATTTTGTGATTTCCAGGTATTTCTTCAGTGTTGGTGGCTTTGATGGCCCAGAAAGCAGAAGTGAAGTATGATCCTGCCTACATGATGCCCTCCCAGATTGCTACCCTGGTCACAGAACTGGGCTACCCCGCCATGCTGATCGAGAATGAAGGAACAGGTGATGGGCACCTTGAAATCCAGGTAAAGTATAGTTATAGTCATTCAGGAAACAGAAAAATTAATTTGATAATGCACACATACTGGAGGACTCGTATGTGTTGTTGTGAAGACAAAAAAATTGGCATTATCATTGGCATATCACATCATAAAAAAGGAACAAAATGCCAACTTAATTGATTCAATGAAATTAATTCAGCATTATGAATCCAAGTAATGTTATCACTCTGATGTACCTGCAGATTAGAGTGGCAGAGAGATATATATATATACACTGTTATGGCAATCCTTTATTCTATTGGAGATATATAAAACTACCTGCATGTTTTTGTGATAGGCAAAAATTATATGAATGCACTTTTGAAAACAGTGACATATAATTTTCAGCCTGATGGTGTGTTCAAATCAAGACTCACATGAACCTTTAATAAGACCAGCTGACATCATCATACAGGCATATTGCTTTACATAGGATTTATGATTCTAAGATTCTCTGTAATAGTGTCACCTAATCTGGGTCATTTGGTGATGGCTGTCAGGCTTTTCTGATATCAGCAAGAATGTGAAAATAGTTCAGTTATTGTTTATTTTGTGTAATATATGGCTTTATACCTTTAGTATCCACAGGAAATAATTTCTAGGCAAATGCTATAGGTATCACATCTATCACTGCTCCTCTAGGGTCATCCTAACATTTAAATTATATTTCATCCAAATAGCAGATGAATTTATAAAATAGCAATTTTCAAGCAAGAACATCAGTTAAATGTTAATAAGTTCTTTATTTTCTTCAACCAATGTAAAGATTCTTTATCAATTATATATTCAATTTGTTATATACCAGTTTTCAATTATATTGTTATATACCAGTATGAGCTTGGGTCTTTCTTGTTTTATGAATAAGACATTTTTCATAGAAACAAAATATCACTGTTTTCCAGATTGGTGGTATGACATGTTCATCCTGTGTCCACCGTATAGAGTCCCATATGGTGAAACAACCAGGCATCAAGTCTGCCATAGTTTCCCTGGCTACCAATAGGGGACGCTTTGAGTTTGATCCAGAAAACACAGGACCAAGAGATATTATGAATGAAATAAGGGTAATTCTGTCTTTTGTTAGATATTTTTTTATTAGATATAAAAACCTGTTTTAAACCCTTTCAATTATATTTTAGCTTCAAAATTGTAAACAGGCTCTTAAAAAATTTAAAACAATAGAACAAAAAAAAGAAAAAAAA